CATGTCTTTTATAAAAGATTTAATGACATATACATATCGCTTCCAATACAAACTGTAGCTAATGGATGATATTGAAATTAAGTTTTTACATCGTCTTAACGATCCTTAAACCGATGTAAATGATTGCATTATTGTAATTCAATAGTATAACTACATTTACATGTTTGTGCGATCTAAAGCGAGGTGAGTAAAGAGAACTTCGAATTAAAATATTCAGATTAATTACTATACGATCGATATTAGTGGTTATGTAAATAATCTTATTTATAGTTTATTTGTTATGTTTTAATAATATTGATATTAAATCGTACAATTGTGAGGTTGATATAAAATAGGTCTTATTTATTCTACAATAAGTATGTGAACGAAATGATAACATGAAATGTCGATACGACGACTACTCGGTGACGTTTCCGAAATTAATTCCGCTGTTACGAAATCAAAATATTGTAAACCAGTATCACCAAATTTTACCTAGACATGTATATTAATATTCACAAAAGTTGTTGTAAAGAAGTTATATAAATTGGTATAGCTTTTCAAAAAAAAAAATCAAAATCCTGGTTCCGTTATCTTTATACGACAGCATTTTATAGCAAAAATTCTAATTACAATATTTAATTACTGAGTCAAAATGGGACAATTTTTCTATATACTTTTTCATAATTGCGTCGGAAATAGTAGTAGTTAAGTTCCAAGTAGTGAGCAACGCTGGAAAACTAACTAGTGAATTTAATATGTATACAATGTAGTGCATACGTTGCATTCGTGTGTGTGTGTGCAGAGCATTTCTATGTAATGCAGGCCCGCAACACTGCTATTGCGAAGCTATGTTCTACAAAGTCATTGAAATAAATCACAAAGAGAAATAAAAATAATGAACACTTTAACACATTTTATTTTTAGAGTTTATAAATATCAGTTTCGTTTACTTTCACTTGAGAAAATCAAAATCAAGAAGAAGAGAACACCTTCACATTTTTTATGATGCTCTGTTTTTTACGATATCTTGTTTTTTTTTTCAACAATTTACAAAACAGAACATTGATACAAAGTAGCAATTTATTTTAGATTTATTTATGTAACATAAAGTTGTTTGCCGGCGGGCAGCGAACTCCAAGAGTTGGCGGTGTTCCAGGATTGTGTGTG